GTCTGTGCAAGTCGAGTCCAATGACGTGTTTTCCATGTTGATTTCAGTCATGTTCTTCCATATATGGCGGTGTTTGTTTATTTCCCCACTCCGGCTTCGATATTTATTCCCCGTGTCTGTTTATTGAATTACATAAAGTTGCCAATAATATTTGTCAGTTTGGACATGTTTATTTCGTTAATTTCAAACATCGGCCAGACACGCTCTGGGTTTGACACCGCACCCAATTGAAACATGTTTGATTTAAACCAAATCTCGTTTGTCGCTCAAAGTGTGGTGCACAGGGAGAGTCCATGTGTGCGAGGTCGTAAATTGCCCGGTTCTTTCTCCTTTTTTTTGTCTACTACAGAATTAAGTTCGATCAGCTGCACTTTTTGTTTCCGGTATGATTTGACATGATCATCTACCCGTGACAAATAAACATACAGCTTTCTGTATTTACATTCACAAATTGACGAAGTTCTAACTAGATTTGGGTTTATTTATCCTGTCTAAAGGTGAAGTATGTGTTTGTGTACGCGCGATTCATCATCGTGTCGTGCGTGCGCGCAAGTCAGAAGCGACATCACTTTCCTTATACAGTCACAAGCTCGGCGGGATGAACGGCATCCGAGTCTCTCTCCCCGAAATTTAATCACTATTACCCAAGTTGTATACATGATATCCACACACACCCCCCAAAAGATGTGTTTAGTCATTGTATGACAACACTATAAATCAGGACCGTGCACCGTAACTGTAAACATATTAGCGCGTTTTGGACCGGTACAGCTGGCCGGTCGGATGAGACACCGTACGGCCGGAGTAATTTATGTCCACGCTGTCTTGCTCCCGTCCCAATTAGCCTATCTTTGGCAGCCCCGATGAAATATTTACAAGAGGAGATTTACAGGGTTTGGAATATTGTAAATAAACAAAAAAAGATGAGCACAGCTTGTCCAGGATGGAAGACTGGAAACAAATCGACTGCGGGATTGTTAGCGAGACATGAGTTGTAATGCCGACAGAAACTGCTGATGATGAAGATGATATCGAACAGCCAAAACATACGAGGGTAACGGTGTGGGGGTTGAGGAGTATGGCAACCTCGTCCTCATGGTTACGAGCAGTACGCTCCCACCACTACCTGCTCTCTCACCGTATTGGATCGTTTGCATATCTAATTTTGGATACGTATGCAAATTGGCAATAGGCTGGTGCCTGGCTGTGTTGTTCATATTAGCGTTTTTTTTATATGCGGTGGCTGGGGGTAAAAACAGAATCAATTCATCGCGGCGTGAGTTACGAAAACACAATTTTTTTCAAGGTTAAAATGTTACAATCTTATCCAGCCAATATGCAGTATCACATTACCTATTATATAATATAAGCGAAATGGGAAAGGGAGGATTGTTTGTGAGGTTGAGTGGACGTAATTTATAATTCATAGCGAACGTTAAAATACGTAATACGCGTTGGAAATAAAAACACAGTACACGATATAAATCCATTACTGTTTCAAACAAATCAGCATACAGGAAGAAAGTTTCCCAACCTGAGGAGTTACTATTGGAAACAAGGTTGAAAACAAAGTAACCCCTGGGGACGAGGTTGTGAATACGTGTGATTGGATGGACATGTCCCAAAAGCGGTTTAAACAAGAGGCCATTGATTGACAAATTTCATGTTTTGTGTAACATTACAAAAAAAACCCACTCAGGCATGCATAGTTATAATGAGCCCGCGTGCATGTTTGACGGTCTCGGGAACGATGGCTCATGTCTCTCCCTAATTCCGATGAAAAGTAGAAGTTTGAGTTATGCCAACTGTACTAAACGTTTACAATAAACAGTACAGACCAATCCGAGCATGCTTTCACTGTTTACCCACGTAGGCCCCCTTCAATGGCGAAAACATTTCCCAAGGTTCCCAAGGTCTGTGAGTATCGGTCAATCATCGTGCTAGTCATCACAATTAGCCCTCCCGCAGACCCAACATCTGTCAACCAGGTAGTCTTGCGGTAGGTAAGACACATGGACTGGTATGTGGCACGTTGTTTTCATTATCAGTTATTCATGTGACACCGTGAAAGAACTCACAACATCCTGGCGAATCTTCGCGAAATGTGCAGCATCTATATACGAACGCTGAGATGGACTTAACACTGGTTTGATTTCATGTGTTCAGAACATTAAAGTCATTTTTGTATGAAACCTCTTATAAATATGCAAACATCAGTTTTGCGGTTCGACACAACCCTGCCCCCAACCTCGAGACAATAGTAGACCCTGGCATGGTATTACTTCCTGTATTCTGATTCGATCCCCCGATAGTAAGTAATGGATTTATATCTCGTACTTGGTGAAATTATTTCTAAAGTGTAATATGTAATCCTCCTCAAAGGTAATTTTCCTTTTCCAGTTTTGCTTATTATCATATTAAGCGTAATACTGTAAGTTGGATGAGAAATATCATATATTGTGCCACCACAACGAATTCCTTCAGTCAGCACCCTATAACACCCGTATAAAGACAACCGAAATGGACATGGACTCTGAGTGTTGTCAAAGCATCGGACTATTCTGCACCTAATTATAATATCCAAGATTTTTGTTTGGATTTGCGAATGTCCAGTATACCAGGGCGAGAGAGCAGTTAGTGTTGCTTACTATTCGACATCGTGGAGACGAGGTTGCAGTCCGACACCTTTGTGCAAATTCAGCCACAATATCTGAGCGCCTATCAATAAAACTTTACCTAACTGTACATTTTCCCACTTATTTCATAAATAAATACAAAACGACGGACAAAGCAATACTAAACACGAAATGTCAGTATAGTGAAAGTAAAATCTAGGGAGTGTAACGGGAAGTGGAGATCAATAAGAAGCACAGCTTGTTGAGTACGGGACCTATAGACTGACTAACTGATCATACAACTGATTCCTGAGTATGTAGGCAAAACAGAGAGAGAAAAAAGTAATATATTTAAAAACTAAAACAAATTCTGTACCACGACTGGCAATGTTTACTTTGTTAATTTGTTATCAAAACAATTCTTTTTGGGGGGTCGTAATCAAACCATGAAACATGGAAACTATTTGCTCCAATAGGTTCCATACCTTTACCACATCTTTGAATTATTCGTTCTTGAGTGAGTGGGGTCTGTAATGTGTGTACATTGTTGGAGTTTCGCAACTTTAAACATTTTTTGGTTGTATTATTTAAACACGCCAAGCCGAGAATGCCAATTATTTCGACGAGGAGAAACGTGCTTGGGTGGCGGACCAATTTGGTGCAACTCAGAGTTACCAACACTACGTTGTGTCACTTGATGGCGACGAGCGACGAGCAAAAGAAAACAAAACACATGTCGTCGACTCCTCCCGCGCCGTTGGACGCTGTAAAACGGAATGGGGTATATGTATGTGGGGGTATATGTGTGTGTTTGTGTACAGGCATATTAGCGTCAGTGAACAAAACATGTCCACACATGCAGACTGCACATGTCCACATCACGTTTTCCAAGTTCTGAAAAATATCTTAGAGACGTTTTCGGGTTAGAGTTATACATCGCAAACTGAAGTCAAACATCAAGGAAATCACGGTCCAAACTTTAGTTCCAAAGATTGCTTACATGCAA